CTGTTCTTTTACTTGGTCTCCTTGCCCAGGTTGTATGAGTTATGATTCTTTCTTTCTGCCACAATACTATTTTATGATGTCTAAAGTAATGCACAGTCATCTCTGCAAGGGATTGGCTCCAGGACTCCCCTCAGATACCAAATTCTGAAGATGCTCAAATCCCTTAGATTGAGTGGTGTGGTATTTGCACACAGCCTACCCAGTCCTCCCATACACTTTAAATCACCTCTAGAGAATGTATGGTACTAATAAAATATAAGCGGCATGTATATAGCTGTTATATTGTTTAGGTGAACCATGGTAGATGAAAAGTCTGCACATGTTCCTCACAGACACACTTTTCGATCTGTAGTTGGTTAAATCCAAGAATACTGTACTTGAGATATGAAAGGCAGGTTGTATTAATTACAGAATTTTTTTTTGGTCTTTTTTCATTTTTATCGGTACCGGGGATCGAACTCACGACTGCCTGCTTGCAAGGCAGGCGCTCATGCCCCTGAGCTAAATCCCCAGCCCCCTAATTACAGAATTATTAAAAAGTAAATACTAAAAGGAAACAAAAACCACCCGCAGTCCCATTGCCTAGATCTTTCTTCCATGTAGCTTATATACATTCTTTTTACATCATTGAACTCATACGGCACATACTGATCTGAAATCATTTTGACTTTGCAATCACTAGCGAGTATTTTTATATTATTAAATACTCCTGAAGAACCTGATCCTTATCTGCTGCTTAGTATGTCACTTTGGAGTTGTGTAAGATTTCTCTAACCTATTTAGGGTTTTGCAGTTCTGTCTGCCATGGCACTTCAAGGAATATCCATCTATACAATAAAGATTTACTCACATCTCTTATTATCTCCTCAGGCAAAAAATAGCTTTTGCACCTATTGCCAAATTACCCCTCAGAATAGTTGCTTCTGTGTTAGCCTCCTACCAGGAGTAACATGAATGTGCTCTTTTCCTGCGCCCACACCTGCATTAGCCATCACAAACTTTAAAAAGCTTTTAGTAACCTGATATATAAAAAGTATCCCATTTCAGTAATTTGTATTTATTTAATTACAAGTGATGTTGAACACTTTTGTAGTTTAGTTTATTTATAAATTTCTTTTGTGAATTGCCTACATGCACCGTGTTTCTTTTTTGTTAAGAATTTTAGTTTTTTGTTTATAAGCACTATTTATATGCCAGGATCTATAATTTGTATTTATTTTTTGAAATTTATTTTTGTATCACACAAGGTGGAACCCAGGGCCTTGCATGTGACTGTAGTCACATGTAGTAGGTTCTCTATCACTGAGTTACACTCCCAGCCCCTGTAGTTAAATGTTGCAAAACTTTTCCCCACTGTGTTTGTCGTTTCCCTCATTGTATTTCATGGTATTTTTTCAAGTGTAAAAGTTTTAAATTTTTGTACAGTCAAGCGTCAGTCTTTTCTTTGGTGGCTTCTTTCTTTGCTTTTACTCACATACTCAAAGATATTTCTGAGGTACAAATCTGATCCTACCTTTCCCTTGATTAAATTTATTTTCCTGGGGCTTTTGGTGAGGCAGTGTACCTCCTTATGGTGCTTTGGGCATAGGCTAATCCCAAGCCATAGGTGCTTGGGATTCTAGTCATTCATGCCAAGCAACTTGTGCTGACTGCTCTCTACTTGGCACCCACTCCGTGGAAAGCCAGGTCCTCCTCCACCAGTCCCCACAGGCCTAGTCCCCATCTCTAACCCTTCTTCTAGTGTATTAGGAAAGACCCAGCTCAGACCTGGCCACCTCTTTTGTCCTCAGCTTCCCCTTCCCTTTGTGTAACACCTGGTCTCCAGGGGCCTCCATAATTTGTAAAATAAATAACCCAGATGACAAGCAAAGTCTAAAATGGCCAGTTAAGGTTGAGTATTCTTAATCTGGAAGTTTGAAATATGAAATGCGCCCAAATATAAAACTCCTTGAGCATCAACATGGTGCCACATATGGAAAATTTTATGCCTGCCCCTCATGTGCCACAGGCAAAACACAAGGACACTAGAAATACTGCATAAAATTGCCTTTAGGCTGTGGATAGAAGGTGTATATGGAACAAATAACTTTTGCATTTAGGCTTGGGTCCTACCCCTCAGGGTATCTCATTATGTATATGCAAATATTCCAAAATCCAAAATCTGAAACACTTCTGGTTCTGGATGAAGGCTACTGAACTTGTAGGAAAATTTACTTTCGGGGTTAGTTAAGGATCAAAACGTTGGGCTGACTGCAGGGGCTGAGGCAGTCAGTCCAACCTTTGATTATGAGCAATCAAAAACTGCCAGGCAGCACAGGCAGAGCACTCTGATGTCCAGGGAATAGACCATTGCGGGTGGGGGACTGAGCAGGCCAGGAGCAGAAGGCCTGCAAGGCAGGAGCTCAGTGCTGGGACTGGATTTCTCAAGAGACCAAAGGGGACAGCATCAAGGAAGGACTCAGTTCTGAAAGCACCAGGCAACAGTCCCCTGAAGACCTTCGGCCCCCCAGCCTTCCCCACCCCAGCAAACAGCATTGCCACTTCCTGGTTTTACAGACCAGAAACCATAGTCGCTCGGTTCCTTTTCCCTCCTCCATGCCACATCCCTTCTGTCAGTGAGTCCTGTTGGCTGTGCCCTCAAAATAGATCCAGACCACATATTGTAGGATTCCATTTTAATGATATTCTGGAGCAGGCAAAACTGTAGGAACAGAAAACATATCTATTGCTAGAAGCCGGGTGGGTGGTTGTGGTGGTGGTGGCTAAAAAGAGTCTCAAGGGAATTTGGGGGCTGACAAAACTCTCCTGATGACTTGAATCTGATGATGTTATACATTTGCCAAAACTCATGGAACTGTACATGGAAAAGGGTGAGTTTACTATACCTTCATACAAATATAGGGGAAAACATACTGGGACCCAGCCTTTCCTACCATCGCTCTGGGCAAGGGGCCACATAATCTTGGATTGTCATTGTGATGGGCTCTTCGGTGGTCTTCCTGATCCTGGCCTCACTTCCTTGCCGCCTGTTCCAAGCAGAGCAGCCACAATGGTCCTCAAAGAACAAAAAGTAAATTTTGTTACTTCTTTGCTCAGGGCACTCCAGAGGTTTCTCTTTTCCTCAGAAAAAAACCCTATGTGAAACAATCCCCTGTTATTTTTCTGGCCTAATCTTTCTCAGTTCCTCCCACTCTTTCCTGCTCGTGAATTCTCTACACTGCTGCCATGATGGTCTTCCCTCTCCCCTTGAACGTGCCTGTGTGATTCTCCTCAGCGTGAAAGACTGAGTTTCCATAATGGCTGCCATGACCCTCAGTGGCAACAGCCCTCTACTGCCTCCCTGGTAATCTCCTAACTCCCTTCCTCACCCTACTCCCCACTAACAGACCCCATACCGGCATCACATCCTGCTTGCTCTTCCTGGTACTTTATGTGTTCTCCTCCTGGGGTCCTCTACCTGGAATGTGCTTCTCAGTAATTTCTACTCCTGGGCTCTGTATTAGTTAGCTTTCGTGTTGCTAGGACAAACTACCTGACACCCACTCTTCAAAAGAAGAGAGGTTCCTTTGGTTTCAATCCACAGTTGGCTGATTGGAAGGCAGGAACACCGTGATGGAAGGGCATGGTGGAGCAAAGCTGCTCAGTTGATGGTGGTTGGGAAGCAGCACAGGGGGAGGGCACGGGTGAAAGATATACCCCCAAAGGCGCATGCCCAGTGACTACCTCCATGGGGCACCACCTCCTAACAGCACATTCAGCTATGAATGTCCGTGCATTAACCCACTGATGAGTATAACGTCTTTGTGATCCAAAAGAGGCTATACTCTAGATCCCCTGGAGTCTCTTCATCCAGTCAAACTGACAAGTTTAACCGTTACAGGGCCCTTCTCTCATCTCTTTCAGTCCTTTGTTCAAGTACATTTTTCCATGGGGCCTTCCCTAAGCATCCCATTTATAACTGCAGTCCCTGATCCAACACCAACTTGCTATCTTCTCTCATCTCACAGACCACAATTCCATCTGACATACCACGTATTTTATTATATGATTTCTTCTCATATCCATGAAGACAGAGATTTTTGTTTTATCTTGCCTTTCCAGTACCTAAGACCTTACCATTTGCCTGGGAAATAATCAGTAAAACTATGTGTATGGATAAAAAGAAGGGAAGAAGAAAAGAATCCCAAGAAGCAGCAGTCATTGTAATTTTATGTGGTGGCATCTCACTGTGCCACACTTCTTTCACACTCAGTTCCTTAGTACACACACACACACACACACACACACACACACACACATATATATATATTTTGTACCGGGGGATTAAACTCATGACCTTCTGCTTGGCAGGCAGGTGCTTATACCACTGAACTAAGTCCCCAGCCCCTAGATTTTTTTTTTATGCCAGGGATTGACATACATACACTCACAACCATACACTTGCAAGGCAGGTGCTTATGCTCCTGAGCTAAATCCCCAGCCTCATAGCATATTTTGTTAGTCAGCTTTCCATCGCTGTGACAAAATACCTGATAATGACACCTTAAAAGAAGTAAAGATATTTTGGCTCACAGTTTCAGCCCACGGTCACTTGGTTCTGTTGCTTTGGGCCTGTGGTGAGACCAAGCATCATGGTAGGGAGAACATGATGGAGCAAGCTGCTCGCATGATGGTGTCTAGGAGGTGAAAAGAGAGCGAGAGGAAGGGGCAAGGATCCGATACCCTCTTCAAGGTTTCCTTCCTCTAGGCCCATCTCCTAATGTTTCCATCACCTCCCAATAGCATCATCAGCTGGGTACCAAGATTTTAACACATTAACTTTAGGAGAAACGTTTAGGATCCAAGCCATGCCAGTCTCCAAACATGTGGAATTCAGTACAAGTCTGTGTTTGTGGGTTCAGGTGTTTCGGGGTGGTGGTTTTCCTCCCTGCCTTTCCTTCTGCTTTGTTGCCACCTGAGATTGCTATGTTAACACAAGTTTTTCTCAAATTTCTCTCTAGAAACAGATGTTCCAGGAGAGGAGTAGCCGGATGCTACAGGCCTTATCCCCGAAGCAGAGTCCTGTGAGCAGCCCAACCCGGAGCCGGTCCCCTTCCCGCTCCCCGTCACCCACCTTCTCATGGCTCCCAAGCAAAACCTCACCCCCGTCCTCGCCCAAAGCTGCTTCAGCCTCCATCAGCAGCATGAGTGAGGGGGATGAGGATGAGAAGTAAAGGTGGCCATCAGGCAAGAGCCATGCCTCGCAGGATGGGGAGGGGGATTCTGGGGGATGCCTGGGTGGTGTCTGAGGGGGAAGAGTCACAGGAGCAGCTGCTCAGCAGGGAGGCCCTGAGTTCTGCCTAGGGAAGGTCTTGGGACCAGTTCTCCCTCACTGTCCACACAGTCTCGCATGGGCTCGGCATGGAGGTTTCTGGCTGGATAACCTGTACAATCTTCTTAGCATCATCTAGAACCACTCTACTTTAACCTTGCTAAGGAAAGGTGCAGAGCATCTCGGAGGCTCTTTCACTGAGTGGGGTGACTTCTGGTTTGGTCTGTACACCCATCCCCATCAAGTAAACCACTTGTGGATGCGGCTGCCCCCTCAACCTGCTAATTCTGCCTGTATAAGGGCCCTGCACGTTGCCTCCTACCACCCGAGCTCTGCCAGAATAAATTTATGTCCAATAGAGGCGGCAAAGTGCTATTGAAATAGTCAAGTTAAAAGACAAATTCCAGCCTTCTCAGTTCAGCCACTAAGACGATATTACAACGCATCAACTCATTCCGGTTGCCAGGACCGTGGCTCAGAGACAAAGCCCCAGTTTGGGCCAGATGTAAAAGGTGATCTATTACGCACCTAACCTCTCAATCAAAGGACAGTTTTGTTGAGGAGAGCTCCATCTAAGGCCTCATGTGTTCCTGGCTGTACTTTATCATCATTGGTTTGACTTCACTGTTTTTCAGAAATTACCTTAACCTATGGGAACTGCAACAAGGAAAGACATCCTGTACTGAAAATGAAAGAGGAGATGCTTTTGCATTGACTCCAAATTTGGCAGATAAAAAAATATCTCCCAAAGCTTCTCTTTAAATGATGCTATTATGGAATGGCTTTCCCATTTCTGACCAGTTAACAGTTTCATAGACCTCAAATAACAGTTCTATGTACCAAACACATAGTATACTGATAGGGGGTGCTACCTGCACATATCTGTTCTATGTATGCTCCAAATATGCTATCCCAGGGTGTATATCATATGCAATATGAATATGTGGTGGTAGCATTTTCCCATATACTCCTCTCCTGTGCTCTACCCTAATACCCTGCTGAAATCCTTGATCTAAAGAACCATTTGGTTCCCTTGTGACTTGGGCACTTTGTCATAAGCTCATGCCTGATTCCCATAGAAATGTTTTGTCCCAACCAGGAAAATACTGTTGTTCTCATGGCCTACCATAACATTTTTGGGTGAAGGAAGGCTCTGAAGAGTTTTTCTAAGGACTGTGGGTTTCATTAATTGAACAAGTCTAGGTAGTGTTGTAGCTATCTCAGGCACCTAGGTTTGCCAAATGGGATGAAGACTTTCAGAGTCCTGCAGAGCTATGTAAAATTACTGCTGCCTAGTGTCATGCTGGAAATGGGCAGGTAAATTCAAGGTTTAGAATCCAACTCTTGGGCAGGTGTAGCTATTGCTCAGTTATCCTAGTAAAGTCAGACAGAGCTGGGACCTGATTGGGCAGGAGCCCCAACCAGCAACTCATGGGCAGATCCTAGCACTTTATGTTGACAGAAGAACCCCTTTTCTAGAGGCCTTAGAAATCAGCTTTCTGGGAGCAACCAATGAAGAAAGGTGGCATGTCTTTCCCCTTTGTGTTAGGGTCGAACTACCTCCCTGCCTACCTGGAAACACCTGGTGTTTATTAGAAAGCAAAGCTATAAGGCTAAGCTGGCTTGGGGCCTCCTTGATCCTGGCACTTTCTCCAGAATTCTGAAAAGCACTTGTATAGACAAAGGGTGAGCAGAAAGATGGCCTGTGAGAAGGAAAATTCATTTTTCAGTCGAGGTCCTCCCTTTGCACATCATTCTACTGAGAGAGAGGCCAAGGCTCCATTCTTCCATACTGACTCCTGCTGAGCACGTCAGTTGATTGACACATTTAGCAGTGAAAGAACACGATGACAAGCCTGGCAAGGGAAGGCAGTAAGAACAGGGGAAAAAAAGGAGAGAAAAGACTCTTGAAGAGAGGGAAGGAAGATAAAGAAAATCTTCTCTGTTAAGCCATTTCAGTACCTCACTTTGTTGGTGAAACTTTCGTGCGGAAACCATTTAATGCTCTGATTCCAATGACCCAGGGCAGATAGATTGACTCTGACTAGTCCTGCTCTAAAGAAAACTCTGGGGTTAATATATCAGGCTGACTATAAATTTGCCGGCCATATGTATCATACTGACAAGTGCCATGTATGTGACTCATCAGATAGTGTCATCATGACTGCCAATTATGGGAAATGACCAATGCCTGAGATACTCCAGCAATGGGCCAAAATAACCCTTAAGTGGGTTCTAAATCCCATCCCCCTAACCTTCAGCAAAACCTCCCTGCCTTCTTGAGAACATGAGTCTCCTGAGAAGGAGCAGGGTGGATTCCATAACCCGGCCTTTGATACTCTTGGACATCTCTCCGTTTTTCCCGGCCCCTGTTGCCTAGCTTCCCTGCACCCAAGAGGAGCTGGGCTTGGGCTTTGGGCCATCCAGTCAACTGCCATGGCCAAGAGTGAGTTAAGGATGAAACAGGATATAGAGAACGTGTGCTACCATCTTGGAGAGGTGAGCAGAAGTGATGGAAAGCAAGGGGCGAGGTGCCTTTTGCTCTAGGAACGGAAGGAGACTTCAGAGAGAGGAGAGTGCCTGGACAGCACCTTAGGATTGTGGAGGGGGCAGGTAGTGAAGATGAAAGAAAATGCGACAGGATGCGGATCAAGGGTTAACATAGCCCCTAACAGGTTAAGGAGAAGGGTTTCTGTTCCAGTACAAACTTCCAAGATTAGTGGATAGCCATGCAGCGGCTGGGGTCCCTGCCTCTCCCGCCAGCACTCCCACATCTTCCTGACGGGGACACTGGGATGAAGTGCTGATCTCCTCCTCCAAGCTAAGCACTGAGGGCAGGACTGCAACATGCAGTCACACTGAATGGCTTCAAACTGCTGGGTGCCAGGTCCTTACAAAGACAAAGGCGAGGCAGCCTCACAAGGAGCAAGACACAGACATCACCGAGCTTCTGACTTGCTCTGCGTGAAAGAGACCCTGCTGTGAGATTTCTGTCTCTTAGGCTACGAGATGCTGATTCCACCCTTTGAGGAAGGAACAAGAACACAAATTTATTTTCTCTCCATCTTCACAACTTATTTTAGCACCCCGCCATACCCCAGGGAGAGATGTGACATGACGTCACTGGCTCGGCTGAATCAGATGAGGTCCTATCTAGTGAGATGCACAGGTATCACGGGCATCCATTCAGCACTAGTCCAGGCCATCTGAGTTGTTTTTTTTTTAAATCTCACAAGGCATATGCAACTTCTCTTCCTCTTGTGACTACTGTCTAGTTTTTTGTTTTGTTTTGTTGTGTGTGCGTGTGTGCGTGAGCGTGTGTGTATGCATGTGTGTGTGTGACTGTAATGTGTCCGGGGACAAAGCCATAAGAAAAGCATACATACTTAAGACTCTGCTGTACATAGAAGACAAGAAGATGACTCATCTGAGTTGAAGCGTGACCTTATGCCCAAGCATTCGATTTGCTCTGGTGCTGAATAATGTGAACTACTGGAATCAGCCCCTCTTCTGGTACTCCCCTCCCTGCCCTGCTCCCAAATGGAACACAGCATTCCTGACTTGTTTATAAATAAAGGGATGCAGAATTGCAGCTTCGCCTGTTGTATTTCTGGTGTGCTGCTGTGTGTTCTTGTCTAAGGACTCTACCTCATTGTGACAAATGCAGGCACTGGAGCAGCTGTCCTGGTCAGCTGTGGGGCCCCGGTGCCCCCAAGGTTCTGCCTCTGCACTGTGTGGAATGAAGCCAAGTCCCCAAATTGCCAAATGACCCACATCTTGATTTAAAAGATTAGAGGGGACTGTGAGCACAGTTCAGTGGTAGTGCACTTGCCCAGCATGAGAGACAGACAGACAGATAGACAGACAGATCTCCAGTATCATCCAAAGAAAAAGTGAGAAACAGATCCACCTGGAGGGCCCATCCCGTGCTGAGCTCGCCTGGAGCCTGAACTGTAGGTCCTGCCACTCGCTTGCTTTGTGACTTTAGCCAAGTCCCTTTATTTCTTCAGCTTCAATGCCTGCTTTTGTGAATGAGTGTGTTGGAGGACATGGTTTCTGAGGTCCTCTTCTCCCACTGCCATGCTGCCACTGAGTGAACAGGGAACATACTTCTCACTGAGTGGGAAGCTGGGTGGGGGTGACCTCCAGTTCCTGGGGCCTCCACTACCAGCGGCATTGGCAACCTCACTTTCATACTAGGAGCATGAAGATAAAAGGCTCTCAGGTTCCATCTACCTTCCTCGTCTCACTACTTGACAGAAGTGGCCAAACCATTTTTCCCTTTTTGGGATAAAGCTCCTTTGATTAGCTGCAAGTGGAGGTTCTAAATCAGGACCCCAAATGGCAATAGTGAAGGCAGATATTACGTTCTGAGAATCATGTCCATGCCCTCCCCTCACCAAATTTAGGAGCTTCCATCCATGTAGTTCTTTCAAATGACTACAGTTCTAACATTAGCCTGGGCTCCAGAATAAAGGAAGCCAGGGCTATAGTTAGTAACGCAATAAATTTTAAAGCAGAACACCTATTGTTTATATTATTTGGCTTTGCTATGTAAATCAAATACATTCTTGACAAGTTATATTTAACGTTAACAGTTATTTGGTTTCTTCTTGACTTCTATGATATCTCAGACATGTTCCCAAGGGAAATTCAGCGAACTCACATTTAAGGACTTTGATATTTGATCCAAAGGGAATTAGCCTTTATAAACAGAATTCCTGGAGGAAAGGGGATCTTATTGAAAACGCCCCCCCACGCCCCCAATTCCACACAGTCCTCTCATGTTGGAGTTCTCATCTGCTCTTGAAGCCAAATGTTTAAGACACTTCTCCAAGTATTCAGCAGGAACTATTAGATACAAAGACTCCTGCCAGGCAGTAGTAGGGTGGCATACAAGCCTGCAATCTCTGCTACTCAGGAGGATGAGACAAGAGGACTGAAAGTTGGAGGCCAATCTGTGCAACTTAGTGAGCACTTGTCTCAAAGAAAATCATAAAAAACAAGAGCTAGGGATGTAGCTTAGTGCTCCCTGGGTTCAACCCCCAGTACCACATAGCAAAAGCAGAAACCACACAAGACTCCCATAGAGATCCTTTTAAGACCATGGGATGATGTATACATATCCAAATATATCCAGTCATCAAATCCCTTAAGAAATCACCAATTAAAAAACACTAAAATCTGAAAATATCATTAAGGGTACTAATATCTGTTGATGCCAACTAAGGCACGTTAGGTCTTTTTGAACTGCCATAACTTGTATTCTAGAAACACTGTATTAGCGAATTTCAGTTGCAGTTGACCAAATGAGGGAAACTTGAGAAATGGTCTGAGTAACATTGACTTATAATGCACCACAAGGTTACTAAAAGCAGAGTGCTGATGAAGGGATTAGATACAACTAAAATATTTGATATGTAACCTTTCATTTAAAAAATAATGAACCCATAAAGAATATGCAGTACTTTACCCTTTCCACAGGAAACTTTTCCAAATTACTATACTTGCAAATAACCATTACTCTAGAATTTCCAAGTCTAAAGAAAACCTGTTATCATCTGCCATGTACGTAGCAGGTCATGACTCATAGCACAGTTTGAGAAGGTAACTAGTCTTTCTTGTTTGGTAGTCATGTTCTACCAGACAGACATTGACAAGATGCCATTTATTACTCTAATCCCAAATCCAAATGAGCGCAATTGAGTCACTGATTCCTTTTCCATTTGTTTCCATATCTGGAACCCATGGATGAATGGATAAATGGATAGACGAAGTTGAAGAGGTATATATGTAAGTTTCTGACTGGTAACAAATTGTGAAAACCTTAATGGCTTATGACCATAGAAGTCCACAACGGGTCTTAACTGGCTAAAATTAAGTGGTGACAGCAATTGTGTCTGGCAGATCTGAGATCTTGCTTTTCTTTGGCTTGTGGCCCCTAACATCTTCAAATCCAGTAATGGTCAGGCCAGTCTTTCTCCATGACATCATTCTGACAGTCCTTCTGACTACCTCCTCATTTATGAAATGTGACCAAAATATATGATAAATGCTTAAATGTTTGAAAAGTTTATCACAGTAAGAGACACATTGCCATTAAGCTCCTTTAACATACTCCCCATTGCTTTGTATGTACTTATCTCAGGGCTCTTGCCACTTTGCAGCTCTGAAAATTTTTTTCTTGTCATTATGAGGTGTGATCAAAATACAGTGAATGCTGCTGCCTAGTGTCATTCAACAAAAAGGCAGGCTCAAGAAAACATTCCCACCTCGTTCACAGGGTCTGGCATTGCATGACTTCTGGCTCTTCCACAATGTCAAAATGACCAGGAAAGGTAAACTTCTTGAACTTAATCAGGACAAAGAGGCAGCAATGACAGTGTAACTAAAGACACTCATAAAACAGAGCTTCTAAAACTGGTTTAGAATGTGGCAAGAATGATGGTATAATTGTGTTCAAAGTGAAGGGGAGAATTTTGAGTAGAATTAATGGCATTATGTCTTTTACTGTAATATATTTTTATTTACTTATTTTTATTTTTTGGTACCCGGGATTGAACTCATAACCTCACATTTGCCAGGCAGGTGCTAATGCTGCTGAGCTAAATCTCCAGCCCCATAATACATTTTTAAAAATGTAACTATTTACCATATTTTTTAATCACATGTCATATGTGGGCCCTTGTGAGCACACTGGCACCACCTGAATGATTCAGGAAATGCTATTTTAAAGCCATCAACAATTTCACCAGAATATAACATATTCCTAGGTTGTGCAGACTGGAATGTGGACATCTTTGGAGAGTCATTATTTTGTCTAAGGTGACCAAGGACAGTGGTCATAAAGTTTGGAACCTTTTCCAGGCAAAGAACAATAATCTTCAGATAGATTTTCTTAATATTCCTATTAAATATTTAATGTTTTATTTAACTGCTACTAGGGATGACCTTACTTAACTGTTTCTTGCATCTTGACATCCTCAAGACAAGTGTGGAATAAATAGTGGGAGATGTCATACCCAAATGAATAGTCTCTAAGGAAAAGGTGTTGACTTCTCAACTCATGAACACAGACAGCATGGTCAGTAGAGAAGGGCGATTTACAGGCCTTTCCCCGTTCCCTGTACATACCCTCCAACCCATGTGTGGCCATACCAAGAAAGAAAGAAGCGAACAGGGTAGGTAGCGGAAGTCTGATCCCTGGACATGTTTCAGCTGAAATGAGCCCGAGGACAGTTTCTATCAGGCAGAATGTTTTCCTGACTACTCTTCCCTGTTTTCCTGATCCTTTGGATGCTGACTGTAGCCCTCTAGGCTGGGACTCATTTCTAGTCATGCAGGATCAAGCTATTTCGTGCTCCTTCCCAGAAGAACTTATTTTCCTGCCTTGATCTGCATTTTATATTAAGGTGTGTCATACATTCCCACCTGAAGTATTCAGCACACATTTGAGTGAGCCAACAGGTGCTGAAAAGATTATAAAGAATGAAAATCTCTGCTTCTAGCCCCCAGTTTCAGTTTAATAGCCTGACTCTCAGCTCTGGTCTCTCCTGTTTTTGTTTTTGTTCCTGCTGAGCTTGCAATGAAAAGTCTGTAACTCTGGCTACCAAAACTTCTGATTCTATGGAACATAACTTTATAATCATTTTATTGACTTCCTAATTTTTTTTTGTATGGGCAATTGAACTCAGGACCTTGTGCTTGCCAGGCAGGCACTGTACTGCTGAGCTATAACTCCAGCAAACCTCCTAATTTTGCATTATTTTAATACTCTCTTTGGGGTGGAGTGCTCTACTTATCCCACAATGTAAAAATTGTCAACTGTAACTCGGAGTAGAGGAAAATAAGACTGAACAAATAGGCCTAGAGTCTCTCAGGGAATTGTTTAAACCTCCTCATTGGACAGAGCTGGCTTATGAAGAAAATGGTCATTCTAGGCCTGACCCTGGAGTCTTTGATCACAGAGGGACTAATGGGTCTCTTTCACCTGAATAATGGGGCATTTATTTGCCCTCATAAACTGTTACTTCATGACCAGTTTTAGCCCTAGGAGAACAGCTTTCATATAGGGAGCTCCACTCCAGTTATTGTGCTTAGGTGACAATAATTATCTCTAACTGTAGTAAAATTACACTATTAAGCTGTTACTAAGAAACTGTCAAAAGCGTCTGCATCCATCACTGTTGCTGAAATTGCTAACATGTTTATTTTGTTTGAGGACAGGCAAATTCTGTTTGGACAAGAATGCCAGGGAACACTAAGAGTAGCATTAGCCCAGCTTAGAGTTTTATGCACAGAAGAAAATAGCAAGGCTGTGTATGTGGCCCCAAATTCAAGCTGACAAGGCCCTTTTTCCTTTAAAAATTTTTTCCAATTATTCATTAAGCAAAACATCAGTAAAACTGCAAGGAACCTAGGCTTGCTCTGTGCAGGGAGATGGATCTGCTGCTGCGAGCTTCCTAGCTATTCTCAAAGACTGTTCTGTAGCTTGGACTTTAACAGTGCATTTCAACTGTGTTCATGTTAGAATCTCTGAGGAAACTAAAACAAAACAACAAAATGCACAGAATGAACTTCCCAGAGCTCCTCTGATGGATCTGAACTAGGGCCTAGGTTTCTGAGAGGAATGTGGAGCCAGGTTACGACTCACTGGGTTAAGTAACACTTCAGGGAACAAAGTGAACCTTCGAGTAGCTGGATTCAAAGAGGTGGATGACCGACAGCTTGTGTAAGAGAAACAAGAGTTGATTTGCCATGTGGCCACAAGAAAAAATCTAAATGTTATATTCTTATCTGGAGAGACTATTTTGTTGAAAAAAGTGTCATCAATGGGAAGAAATCCAAGGCTTCATTTTAAGGCAACCAATGGCTGCTATCAAGCACCAAACCCAGTGAAAGTGAGTGCTTGATGTTAATTTTTCAAAAAATTGAACAGTTGAAATAGCAGTAGATAACTGCCCTGGCCAATAATGGTTGCCACTAGTGAGGTGGCTATTTAAGGAATTCAATTTAAAAATCAATTTGGCATTTTGACCATTCAGGTGGCTAGTGGGGAGCCTAGCGGAAGCACAAAGAGGACTTCTGTGGTCAGAGTTCCGTGGCGGATGGTGGTCCGCTGAAGCCCCTTCTCAGAGACAACCCTTCTACATGATGCCTTATGATTTATTCATGTGATCAAAGTGTAAATCTATGTGCTATTATGAAGCAAACATCTGAAAGTATTATCAGCAGATAATCATGCATTATTAAGTCACTTGGAAAGGATTCTGAGATGAAGGACAAGAAAATAAAAACATATCGTAAAGCACAGTGCTTGGCAATAACTTCATGGAACTCTGTGATCATGGCAATCTCTTGAGTGTGAGCCATACTTAAAAGAATTTCAAACCATAGCAGGAGCAGCTGCTACGAGAGTACCACTCCCAAGTCATGATCAAGTCCTAGCAGAGCACTGGCTTTCAGTAAAATATAGATGAGTAATTGTAAAATTCAAATTAAAATCACAAGCATTTTCAAGAGCCACTAGTTTTGTATTCTTTGGGAAAAAGTTAAGAAACAACATGAAAATATTCACTTATTACTTCCCATTTTAGGTTTTTAATCTTTTTTTTTTTTTGTGGTACCAGGGATCGAACTCATGACCATGCGCTTGCAAGACAGATGCTTATGCTGCTGAGCTAAATCCCCAGCCCCCCATTTTATGTTCTTAAGGAGCACCATAAAACATTAAAACTTGCTAACAGCCCTGGAATCTGCATGGTTCAACTTCCTAATTTTAGAGGTCTGGAAATTAAAGCAGTCAGTGGAGTCAGCTGGCAACAGGAGGAATCTGACTCCCCCAAACAATCACTCAAATGTAAAATTTCTGCCTCAAATTTTGAGAAAGTTTTGTTTGGTGGAAAATACACAATACAGCAGTGTGCTTTTCATATTTTAAAAAACACACCCTTCACTACTGAATATTTAGTAAAAGAATAGCACATTGCCAAATGACACAAAGACTACTCTTTATTTGGGAAGCATGTAATTGCACATAAATGTCTTAGTGGGCACATAGTTCTGGTGTTGCCACTGCCTTTCCTGGTGTTGCCACTTTCCTCTAAGAGACCATGGAACCAATAGACTTATTTAAAAATTCAAGCTATTTGTCATCAGAACATTTCCTTATGGCAGGTCCCAAGTTCAAAAGAATTCCTCCGGGGGCATGTGTTAAAATACAGATTCTCAGGCCTCAATCCCAGGAAATCTCAATCAGTAAAGCTGAAGAAGAGCCCAGGACTCTGCATTTAGACAACCTTTCAGATAATTCTAGCATAGGTGCTCTATAGCCAGCCCCTCCAGTTTGACCAGGACAGTCCCAATTTGCATGTTTACACAGGTTATGGCATAATTATTAGTAGTGTTCTTTTTCACTCCCCAAAATGTCCTCAAATGAACAATATGGTGTCTGGTCCTCTTTCTCCATCCATGGACTATATTTTGAAAAATACCACTGTAACAGTTTACTTTTATCAACTCCTTTATTTTGCTGCAAAAGTGTCCACTGCAAAGGCGGGTGTGTGTGTGTGTGTGTGTGTGTTTGTGTGTGTGTGGCCAAATAACCTATTTTTCTTTGACCACAAAAATTTATGTAAGCATCTTTCTGCATTCCCAGCAACTTGCAAAGAAGCTTGCTGCTAGTATAATGTATTATTGAGAGAAAATACCAAAGTCTTTAAGTGGGACAGATGAGAATACAGCTCAGAAAACACCACAATGATGCACTGTGAATCACAACTACTGTTTATTTTTTTTGATTATTGGGATACAGAATTGTTCATGTGCTCCAGGACTAGTTTTCTATGATGGACACCACAGATTGCTCTGCGACTTACGGGGGAATGTTATCTGTGCCACACACTTATCTGGCCATGTTTTTCCAACAATCACAAAACACTTTTCTCCACAGAACATGGAATGACAAATGACCCCACCCAAAATAATTCTTAAGTCATAATGGTGCATACCAGCAAAGCCACAGCACAGCACAGAATTGGGGGTGGGGGCTGGGCTTATTCTTATGCCACAAGGTTGCTCCAGAAAACTGGATACACATGTACATTTATCTCTGTAACTAAGCTGAGACAGGCACAAAGCAAATCAGGTCAGATTCGAACTCATGGGTACAAATATTATAAAGAACATTTATTTCATGTGTAAATTAGTATTTTTCTCTTACCAAATCAGCAATCATTCCAAGTTTAGATACCACTTTGATAAGGAATTAGAAACACTGGCAAAGCAAGAAATTTTCATTTAATTGCAGCATCAGATATGTTCACAGAGGTGTATTTCATCCCACAATGGCTTTCCTTATTCAGTTCAAGCATGTCTTAGGCATTTGCAAGTTGTATTCTAAATCTGGAAAATATGTAGGGTTTAAGCACTTGGATACTTCTGGGAGGGTGTGAATTTACAGCAGCAAGCGATTTGTGTGTAACCCCTAAGGAGCAAGTGCCCCCTCAAGTGATCTGAATACCAAGGAACTCCGGACAGGATTAGCCAGAACGCTAAGCTAAAATGTGGCATGTTATCTAGATCTGACTCAAACACAACAGACTTTCTAATCAAAGGGGAGCATTCAGTTCTAGCACTATGCAGCATCAGAAGAGAAAAGCAGACTGTGACAATGAACAGACGAGAAATGAAGGAACTTGATTCCTCCAACACCGAATAAAGGCCTTCGCAATTTTTAAAGTCCTTGTTGCTCTGTACTTGCTAGCCTTGCCATGAATGTCCACTTGACAGTCAAGATACTTCTAGTTTCGTATAAAAATATTTTAAGTATATGCACAATTTATTGGTTAGAATAATTTATCAGCTCTTATACGTGCTTTTCAAAGAAAAAAGCAAGCTACTAAAAGTCTTTAGGTGGCATGTTCCCTGGGAACAGTTACACAGGCGTCCAGGAAAAAGGTAGCAGATGCAGGACCATGCTGAGCTTTCTATTTAATTTTTATGTTAGTTACAAGCTGTGCCAGAAAAATCTTGTCTCCTGAGAGGACTTGGCAAGTGGCCTGTGAAACCTCAAAAGAATCAGCCTGGTCCCTTTTCAATAGCAGACAGCCTCAAGTCTTCACCCATCTCTATAGTTCAGGCTTTAGCCTCAATTCTAATTAAAGTCATTAAAGTCAGCATTTTTAGAGACAAAGGCATAAGCCAGTTCTTACTGTAAATATACAGTGTCTTTCAAAATTTACACTGAGATTTCTGACAGTTGTAACAGTTCAAATGATAAAAGGAAAATGGAATTTTTGAGAAAGGGATGCCATGATTTAATGTCCTTTAGCATGGTTTACAATCAGACTTAACTTTCATAACTTCTTTGTTAAATGTCTAGCGTATGTGAACCAAGAGTTATCACTGACTGCTAAGATTCTTTTTTCTCTGAAAAAGAATCTCAAGTAAGAATATTTTAAACATTAAACAATTGTTATTCATATACATCCCTTTCTATGTATGCCATTTTCAATCAATACGGAAGGCAAGGATGAATTGGAGAGCAGTTAAAGCAGTCCTATGTGCCCGAGTTAGACATTTCCTCACTCTGCTAATCAGAGGACAAATACTTTTTCATACAGACATGATCTTTCACGTTTCTGCAGTTTGGGCCCATTTGTAAAAGTTATCCAGAGTACTTAAGTTAACAAGCTACTTTTAGGTTAATGGAAGTTAGAATTACTTAATGCGATGTTCTTTTAAGTGAAAGTTTATTATCCCAAAAGGAGTCAGTTCCAGTAGAAAACAGAATCTTCACTGAACAGCCAAGAAGCACATTATCAAAGTCAAACTTCTGGGGAAAAGTGGGATTCCTCCTAGACAAAGGACATTTCGGTGTGAATTCTCATGAAAAGGGCAAGTTCAGGTTTCTTGGGTAATCTCACATTCCTAAAATGACAATACTTTTGAAATTCTAGCTCTGAAATTTAGACAAGAACTATCAAGTCTGAACATACAGTGGCACAGTTCAAAATTTCTATGGGATTCTTATCAAAGGCTATTCCCTGAGACAGGCAAGGGTAGTGAACGTGAATTCTCTGAGTACAAAAAGGTATATACATTTAAAATCAATTTCATCTCTTTCCTCCTCCCTTTCAAGAAATTACTAAAATAAAAAAGATTTATCACCATAGCCTAAAATCTTACATTTAAACTTTCTAAAAATGTTTTCCTTTAAATGAACATTATTGCAAAGCCACACACAGGCTGGGTGATTTCACGCAAATTCTCTCCAATAGTTCTTTTAAAACCATCAGTGATACAGAAATAACAATACCTTTTTTACAATTTACACAAGGTTCAGTGAAATACTAAAATAGAATGCAATTGTAGTTCTTCACTTGTGGAAACTATAATAGGAAAAAGATAAGAAAACTTAATGGAATCTTAGTATGATTAGAACTTTTAAAGAATGCAAGTATAATTCTCTACTTTTGGAAAATATAATGTGAAAAACAAATCCAAAATACCTCTCTATGTAAATTAAAGCTCAAGCCATGGTATTCAAAATTAAAATGATTTACATAATCTACTATACTTTGTGTTTTTTTAGTAATTAACCTTCCTGAGGCTGATTTTGTTCTCCTTAGTGTTTGCTTAACTAAAGTGCTTAATAAAATTTCTACAGAATATATTACCCTCTCCATAGATGAATATTATTTTGAACTACAATCTGACAAAAATCTAACTACATTTAATTATGCTTGATTAATCCAAATGTCACTGAGAGATTTATAGAACAGAAAAATATTTTTTCAGGTTAAGCTCGTACTCTTCATTGTAAGCTTCTGGATCCAACATTACCACAAGTTTACCATCTTAATTCTCTACCATTAAGAAAAGCCCCATAAAAATATCCCCACTAGTCCAAACTGGACCATAGGACTCCAAACACGAAGCTTTATTTCGTGTATCGTTTGTCCCGAGGTCTACAGACAGACCTGTCACAGACTGACATCATCACTTAGAATTGGGAAGCTGTGCGACTGAGGTCAATTCTCTACCTTTGGTGGAACTTTTGTGTAGAGACACACAGGGTGTCTCATGGATTTAATTAAAACAGTGAAAGAACATTAGCATGAGATATGAGGGGTCTTTCTTCTAACACAGGCGCATAACTGTAACAGTTGTTCAGAGACCTTCAGTAATGATGCCCCAAGGTACTTTTGTTCATATGCAAATAAGTCAACTTAAAGGGTGACAAATTGCCTTACCTATGGGAATAATTAAACATATCCCATCTCCTCCAGGCAGCTAAACCTCCCACTGCTCAAACAGGCAAGTGTGGAGAAGTCCAAGGCTCTCTCCACCAAGGCACTGATATTTCCTCTGAGGGAAAGTGGGACCACTGCCAGCAGAGTGGCATACAGGCGCATGTGGTACACACCAAGAGACAGCCTGTGTCCTGGCCACCTAAACTGTATCATGGGGATAGAGAGAATTCACGCCTCTACTTTGGAAATAGACGGAAAAGTGGAAAGAGAGCTTTCTCAAGAAGTCTGTGACTAAAATATTTTGCATTGCTTTTTGCCTGCATTTTGAGTGGCATACACAGCTGGCGCAGACCTGCAAACTGAGAGGGAGGCCTTCTCCGACAATCCTTTTCCTCCACCTCTAAAATGAGTTGAAGTGGTAAATTGGGTCTCTTCTGAAAAGCAGTCATTTAGGCCCCAGCAGCATCATCCAGATGCTTTAAACTTTTCTTTAAATAACGATTTCTCGATCCCAAGACGACATATCCAGAACTTGTGGTAATTGTGTTTCTGTTGTGAGGAAAGAATGTCCCATGTCATTCGATGAACTTTGATTTGAAAAGTTGCTTCTTATTTGACCCTGCTGGTTGTTGGTCAGCAAGACAATTGACTAACATGGGCCCTGTTTCCCTGAAGCCTCAGTGCAGGGATCCTGACAAGGTCCCTCACTGAGCTGATCAGCGAGTCCAAATTCAGGTCAACCAATACAGGGGAGAAAAGCAGTTGAAAATCACTGGCCCTTCCTCCTCTGAGGAACACACCTGTCTATGAAACACTTAGGTGGTTTGGTGCCACCCCATTCAATTTCCTCTACTACAACGGAAGTATAAAACTACCTGATGTTGTTTCTTATCTGTCTTCCCTACTAGAATGCGGGCTCAGGAAGCAGGGATTTCTCCTGCTTTCATCACGGCTGCATGCAGCACGGCTTCTAGTATGCAGGAGACACTGGATGTCATTTACGGGGAAGACTGCACGTTGCTTCCCTTTCCATGGCTCCTCTATCTGCCACCTGCACTTCGTTAGTCTCCTTCACACGAGGGTGCCTGTGTTCTGTTCTCTGCCTGACATCGGCAGACTGGGCCAAAGACTGACCTCACCTCAAGCAGAGCTGGTTGCATATAGCAAGGCTGTGCCTTGGCTCTGTGACTGTTATGCGGGAGCAATGAAGGCAACAAGACTTTGCTGCTGCTTGTCCAGTGGAACGTGCTGGCCACTGATGCAAGGAGGCTTCAATCCCGCAGACAGGCCAAACAAAGCCCCCATCTTGTGATCCACCTTAAAGGCACTTTAAAAACACAAATCCACGTGCTTCCATGGTAGGCCCCAGACCTACAAACCATGCAATGGATTTTCATACGTAACAAAACAAATCCTGATGAAGACTTAACATCTTTCTATTTCTTAATGCACCACATTTTAAAATGGGTTGGTTGAAAAAGCAGGTAAGAAACCTGTACCCCGGTAAAGCTCTCAGCAGGGCTCACAAGACGCTCAACTGTTAAACTTCCTTTGACAACTCTGATTATTAGTTTGAAATATTTTCCAATATTTAACTAATTAATCACTGTCAATAGCCAATAACTTGAGTTCATTAAAATGTCACATGTTCCCTGGTTTTAAACCAGAAGGTACTGATATCTCTAATGGGTAGAACAGGAACCCTAGTTAAGTTATCTTTCCACACAGAACAGTAAACAAAAATCCTGTATTGATTAAATTGTTAATGGTGCTTTCCTGCTGGCAATATTGGTTCCTTCTGTTTACTAACATATACATTATGAAGGACACTATCTTCAAAGTCAATGTTTAAGCACCTGGACCACTGGGAAAGATGGGAGAGTAAATACATATTTATATAAGTGCTCCTGCTCTCCAATATACACATCTCAGAATTGAGCCAGAAGCTGTCTACAGGGAAACTAATAAAAGCCACAGTGCCATACCATGGGCTCCAGGGGAGTGTCTGAAGATAAAGCAAAAGAGCCTCCAGAAAATGACTGGGTTTAGAAACTATAAAAAACATCAACCAAATGGTTTGGTCCTCAAATGAATGAAATAAGGAATCAAAGAGGATGACAGAATGATCTAAAGGAAAAAAGTTTTTAAAAAACTAACAAGTGAAAGTCACATTATAAGCAATAGGGCCTAGCCTCAACAGTATGGAAACCTGAGTCAATGAGATGGAGCGTGAGACTTGGTGAAAAATCACACAGCACGTAGGGAGACAAGGGCATGACAGCCACTTGAAGACAAAAGTGAGGAACACATAACGGAGATCCAATGGAATGAAAAATTCTTAAAAAAGACAACAGAACAGATACAAAAATGCGATAAGGCCTAAAATGTCAGTATCTAATTATTCCCTCTATACCAGAAAAAGTTAACAGACAACCATCAATCCTGAGATAAAGGATTATCTTGAAATCATAAATTTCAAGAATAAACGAAGAATCACACGTATCCATGACAAGCAAGCAGGTTATCTACAAAAAAGGGATGGAAAATCCATTGGACTCAGAGTTCTCATCACCACCAGATACAGATAATAATAAAGTAAGATCCTGAAAGAACTGAGGAAAAAGGTCGTGCTCCAAGAATCCAATAGCCAGCCAACACACACACATCCTAAGTAATGGCAACAGAAAGACACGTGTAAATATGAAAGGGAATCTAACCAACACTATAATCCAATCCACCAAAACATAAAAGCATCAACTCCTGAATGTGGAGTCTTTGTATGAAAGGGCTGGCAGTGAGCACTGATCTCACTCAAACATAGAATTAAGTCTAAACAACTCTAGTAATTACCTACAGCTACAAGTTGCCTGTTTTTTTTTTTTTAGGTAAAAGCTGCCAGATCCATTTGACTATCTCCTCTGATTAATGATGCCAAAATGGAAAACACACAAAAGAAAACCTCTCCTGAGTGGAATTACCTTGCATTGCAGAAAATTTTTGGTTTAAAGCTTACCCTTGAGGATTAATACACCCAAGACATTTCTCAAAAGGAATAATTCTAATTGCCTGGTGTATTATTCAGAGCAATAACCTAGGAACAAGAAGACCCAACTACTCCCTTTGGTTCTTCTAGTCACTTATCAGGCCACCTTGGCAAACCATCTAACTGCTTTGGGATTCTTATGAAAGTATAGATGTTCCTCTGTGGTCCATCTACCCTGTGGCATTGTAAGAATCACATGGGATGCTGAGTATAAAAGTTCTTTGGACTCTATAAGCAAGGCTGTAAAACCAAGTCACTAGACAGAAAGAACCCATGTACTAACTCCTGCATCATGCATGGAACCAAAAATCAGACATTCAGAGATAAAGAAGGGAGTGGATAGCTCCTGTGGAACCTTCTCTATTTCCTGTCATTTCTCTATATTTTAAAGTCATCTCATAGTACTATTAGAAGAAATTTAGTACTTCCAAAGCCCCAATCTGACTTATTACTGATTTGAGGACAAGGATAGCTTATAAAGTTAGATGCTGTCCCACTACTCAAGGTAAAAGACAGTCTTTGTCTCAGTATTTATTAAGTATCTGTTATTTGCTAGGCACTATTTCAAGTAGTAGACATGGTCCCCCAAATAATGTAAATGAGAGGGCATTACAGAGAAATGGGGAAGAATTTGGCTGAAAGGGGGCCAGTGTCTGTTTACATCACACTTTATATGTAGAAATCTGACCACTGGCTGACAGGCAAACCCAGCAAACAATTAGAGAGATATGCTTAAGCTCAGAGGTTCACATATAATCAAGAAAAAGGAGAAACAAGTACTTGGGTAAGGGGCTAACAAACTGAGAATGCAAGATGACCCTTGAACTGTTCTTGTCAGTGAAATGAAGGCTAAGACTTGAGAAAAAATTCTTAAGGAAAAAGACAGGAGACAGAAGCAGATTGCACTGGGGTCAGGTGCTTTATGAGTAAGCTCTAGAGCAGGGGTGGTGAACCCATGGCACACATGCCACAGCTGCCTGCTTGTTGTTGCTGAAAGCTCTAAAAGGTTCACCATCACTGTTCTAAAGTATACTGAGTCATTGAAACACTGAAATAAAATTTTGCTTTTGAAAAATACTTGTGAGGAATGTGATAGGATTTTCCTATAGCACATTTTCCATATTTGACCCTTACATGGTACTTGTTTGAGGGTCTGGCAGTCAACAGGCATCCTTAAACGGTAAAGCACAGTGGAGCAAAGCAGTAGGGAACGTGACCCAAACCGGCTGCCTCTATCCCTTACGGCAGATCCCACTTGAAAATGTAAAGGAAGACAGTTGGAAATAGAGGCCTGATAAAAGAGGGACACTATCTGATGTTTATAAGGAAGCTTTTCTTTTCTGCATTGCTGGGGATTGAACCTAGAGTCAAGCTCTCTACCACTGTGCCGTACTCCCAGGCCTTTGTATTCAAACTTTTATTTTGAGACAGAGTCTTACTAAACTTCTCAGGCTGGCCTTGAACCTGCAGTACTCACTCTTCTAAGGAGGTGAGATGACAGTCAGATACCACCACACTCAGCTTATTTTTACATCTTTTACACCGTAGGAGAATAATCACACAGAATAGCCCCATTCCTGAGACACTGACCTGGACCACAAACAAGCAACCATATATATGGTTCATCTCATCAATCTCTCATAAGTACATCAATACATCTTTTACTTGACTGATTATGTATGAGTTCTCTGATGAGGTCCTTCTAAGGGTAGAAGAGATGAGATCCTTCTAAAGATGAAAGAAACTACCATGAGCTTGGGTAACATAATGACATGAAAGAAAACCATATTCAGTGAAAACTAACAAAAACAGCAGCAATCAAGCCAAGTGCACCTGGTCAGAGCCTAACTCCTTCTGGTGATAATGTCCCGCACTGCGGCGGCGGTGGGACAACTGCATTGTCACCGTTATGGGACTAAGTGATGACGACTACTTTGCAACATCTAAATCAGTGGACTTGCTACTGAAAAACTAGACCGACATGAAAAATCACAGTGAAGAGAAGCACAGCCTGTGGAGTTGTGTAAGATGCTACTTTGACTGTGGACTCTCAGCTAGTTTCTACTGCTCAGAGTAAACATAACATCACTCCTCTTTCCTCACCCAAGTCCCCTGTTAATTCTTACTTCCAATTCTAGCAAAAAATGCAGGAGTGTGAAAGTCAGATTGAGCTCCCAAATCTAAAACTGGGTGGAATGAATGAAAATGAAAATGGTGAAGGCCCACAGTTTTTCTTGAGTAAACTAGAAAGAACTTTTCCCTTCGTAGTCTATTTTACAACTAGTAAAGTGCATGACACAGGAACTTCCAATTCCTTAGGGGATCACAAAGGAACATGACAAAAATGTAGTGCTAGACTGGCGCAATTTCTACAGAAGCAGAAGGTCTGTTTCCCACTCTTCACAAGCTTGATACTGACCACAAAGCAGTTTTTCGCTGACAAGTGCTTTAAAATTAAGACATTGAGTGAAAAATTCCAAGACAACTTTTGAAGTGCTTTCATCGATGGAATGAAGTATATAAATGAATTGCAAAATAGTATCAATAATCAATGAGCAAGACCTAATATGCAAGAACCACGCCTCATATAATGAGAGTGCAGACCACATGGAGTAAAGCAAACCGAATCAGAGTGGAGGAGGGATGCACAGCAGAGAGGGCCCTGGGACTAAATTCTCGACATGTGCTCAGCTGCTATCTTCTCCTTCCAAATTCCCCAACCCTAGCTGGAAGTTTGGGACACATATATTATTTGGTCACAGAAAGTAGCAGCAGTAACTGCTACATCTGGGATGGGAAAGGAACTCAGAATCCAGGGAAGACTGGAGACCAGACTCTGTGATAATGAGACAGACGATGCGAGGGCACGCGAGCTCCAAGGAGGCTCTGTGCTCTTTTGTGATAGACGCCAACCACAACACAGCAAAATAACATGAAAAATTACTTGAGTTACTACTTTAGTAGAACTTATGGCAGAATAACTACAGGAAAGAATTCATGGAAAGATCTAGATGATATGGAGAAAATATACACTCAAGCACTAGAATTAATGCAGAGTTCGTGGGGAGAAGTGCACTCTCGTTGACTTGTAGAAGACGATCTATGCTCATAACACAGGACTGTAGCATTCAGCTCCTTACAAAGTTCTGTTAGTCTTAATCTTGTCCCTGTAGAGAAAATAGTGGAACATCCATAGTGAATCTCTGGGTGCGATCTCTATTTAACCAATTCTTAATCAGAGCGTTTAATTAATTCAAAAACTTATCTTACACAATAATTCAAAAACTTGTAGCAATTTTTCTACAGAAAATTTACTGCAAAAGAAAAATTATTATTTAATTACTTATTTCTTTTTTAAAATAATTCCTTACTCAGTTAAAAATCTGATTATAAATGGGGAGTGATGCTAAAGGATATGAGATTTCTTCTTAGGGTGATGAAAATATTCTGAAATTAGTGCGTATGGTTGTAAAAGTCTGTGAATATACTAAAACAACTTAACTGTATACTTTAAAAGAGTGTGTATGATATTGTGAATCACCATATAGTTTTATAACTATATAAAAAAGTCTAGAGAATTTTCTTAGACTTCCTCGTGTGTAAATATATAACTTCTCATACCTACTACTTACCAGATCTCTACCAATTATCTTATTTGTATGGCTTAACAATTGTTTGGCTTAACATTTTAGAGTTTTAAAAATTGTTTTCTGCCAAAATCTATTTGTTTAGTAATACATTAGAAATGGAGATTCATATTTACAACCTGATAAACTAGACTTTTAAAACTGCCTGGAGAACAAATTCAATTAAAGCCACCTCCTCACAATCCAAATGGACCTTTTTGTTCATAAAGATGGCTTCTGTATTACCCAAATTAACCACCTATCAGACTGCCAGTTTGAATTTCTGGATGCCCTGTTAACATGTGATCTGGCTTACAAATAGACTGAAGTGGAATAAAGGGGAACCAGTCTGGCCCAGGTGTTTCATGCTGATTAGCTTAAACTTGCCTGAGAATGGTGAATGTGTGCATCTGAGAGGAACAAAGAAAAACAGTGGCACAAGTATACAACTGGTCAGAGCACAACTCCTCCAAGGGGAAATCCCTCACTGTGGTGGCAGGAGGGACAACTGGATTTCTAACATCATATGACTAAAGGAAGAAAATTAAAGTTGCAAATTTTATCATTTGAGATGTGTAGCATGGAGGTTCCTCATGATACTTTGATAGGAAAAAAAATCGGTGTAGTACTGCCCTTTCTATCATTCATCAGAAAAGATGAATGATATAACAGTATAAAATTATAAAGCTATATAAACTATATTTGCATACAAACATCTTTCTGTTGAATTGTGTTAAAATATTAAGAATCAAGGTTTTCAGGTAAAATGAAACATAAAATAAAAGTATGTTAGGGCAACAAATACATATATATTAGGGAGTACTAGGGATGAGGCTTAGTGGGACAGTCCTTGGATAGCATACTTTAGGCCCCGGGTTCAATCTTAAGTCCAAAAATAAAAACAAAAACAAAAAAATATACAAATACTAGGGGGGTGGGGTTTAACTCAGTGGCACAAGCACCTGCTGGGCAAGTGCAAGGTTATGAGTTCAATCCCTGGTACCAAAAAATAATAATAGGGAAAAATACTGCAATAATTAATAAAAATGACCAATATGAACATTACACACACACACACACACACACACCCTGTCCAGAAAAAGAGCTTAGGAAAGGTGTAATAAGCACATCCAACACCCAGCTAAGGGATTCTAATAACCATTAAAAAAATAGGATTCCTTGGGGGAAATAACTGATTCTAGAACGTGTACAACGTAGATATAAGGTGAGCTTAGGATAGCATCTTGGGCCAGGAAGCAGGGGGGTTTTCAAAGATAAACTTCTGACAGTGGAACACAGAGGAACCAGCTCAAAGTAGCTACCACTGGCTGGAGGTGCACCAAATCAAGCAGCACAAAGGACAATAACCGCTACATGCAGTAACGTGGATCAATAGCCCAGAAGGCAAGACACCAAAAGAGTGCACACTGTGTGTTCTTGGTTTATGTTTAAGAATTCCTCTAGTGCTACATTTAGAAAACGGTTACATGTGGACCCAGAGACAAGGGAAGAAGGAGAGTCTTACTAGAAAAGAATTTTGGGGGGTATTGGATATACAGATATCAAATATATCAAGCTATAAACTTAAGATCTGTGTACTTCACAAAATAAGTATTTCAATAAAATAAACATAGATAACAAAATACTTCAATAAAAAAGTGCTGAGGGTAACAGAGCAAAGCAACAAAAATGTATTAAATCTATAGTGCTCAGAAAGGACAAAACAGAAACTCATCGGGTATCATTTAAAGTAATTCGGTTTTCTGTTTGTTTCCTTTTCTGATACAGGGTCTTACTATATAGTGCAGCCTGGTTTTGAACTCACTTATGTAGCTCAGGCTGGCCTCAAACTCATGGTGATCCTCTTGCCTCAGCCTCCTGAGATCTTGGATTACAGGCATGCACCACCATGCCCTGCTCACTGTACCGTTTAGACTGGTCTTGAACTAACTATGTAGCCCAGGATAGCCTCCAAGCTTCTGTGATCCTCCTGCCTCAGCCTCCTGAGTGCTGGGATTATAGATATGCACCATCACACTAACCTGATTTTTTATCTTGAAAATCAGTAACTTACAGGGAAATTTTTTTGTAATTTAAAAGGGAAAAGTTAAACTTACTGGGAAAACTATACTTCAAGGTACCTAAAAGGCCTTAATTGTTGAGAAAGACCTTTATTTAATAGGGGGAATGCCAGCTAATAATTGTCAAGGGAATGATTAAAAAACTTTTTTTTTACAAAAACTAATAGAAATATAGACAGAGTGACAATTTGACTCCCTTCTTTCTAATTTGGATGCCTTTTCTTTTGCTTGCCTAGTATCTGGCTAGGATTTCCAGTACTGTGTTGAATAAACGTGTTGAAAGTGAGCATCTTTGTTAAAGCACAGTGGTCAACTATGGTGAAACTGTTGGGCGAATGGCTGGTGGGTTAGTATCCATTTGCATGGTACAAAAACACCACCACAGGGGCTGGAGATTTAGCTCAGTGGCATAAGCGCCTGCCTTGCAAGCAGGCAGTCGTGAGTTCGATCCCTGGTACCTATAAAAACGAAAAGCACACACACACACACACAAAAAACAAAAACAAAAACACCACCACAAAACGACTTTCTAGTGAAAAAGGGAAAAATGACTAGAGTGTGGAAGGATCAGACAGCCATCACCTAAATTATGGCCTATCTTAACATCACTAACAGGTCTCATCATGTAATTCTGCAACAGTGCTCATGGACTGTTCCAGCTAAAGAATAAGAAAAACTCCACTGAGTCTTCAGACCAACTGCCCATTTTCAGGAAAACAAAGGGATATTTCAAAGGAGAAATCAAACAAGCCAACATGGGGATCTTGCAGGACAACTGACATGGATTTTGAGTAACAACAAAATTTTCTAGATTAGTCTCAAGACTATGCAGCTGTGGTAGGTGAGCCTGGAATGGTTCCTGGTTTAGACAAATCAGGAGAATTTTAATGAGGTGAAAGTTGACTGAAACAGGAAAGCAGAGATTGACAAATGAAACAGAAGCAGGTTACAAAACAAATAACTAGTATGATCTCATTTGGGGAAAAATACACACACACACAGACACACACACATATGTGCCCAAATGGCATATTACCTATAAGAACACACAAAGCTGTAACAGTGGCAACCTCTGGAATGTGGGAATACGATGATTTCTTTCTTTTTTCACCTATTTATGTTTTCTAATTTTTTATAATACACACATATTTCTTTTTTTTTTTTTTTGTCTTTTCCCTTTTTACCAGTACCAGGGATCGAACTCACAACTGCCTGCTTGCAAGGCAGGCGCTTATGCCGCTGAGCTAAATTCCCAGCCCCTACACACATATTTCTATTAATAAAAGGTTAAATTAAATGAACAGGACCCCTTACTCTTGCTTATACAGTTGAAATTTACAGGTAGTCAGAAGAAAAAAATGTGAAACCAAAGATTGAATTATTTTCCTTAGTAGTATGTAATAGTGAGGATTGTATTTCTGTAACTTCTTTCATTTTCAATTTTTTATTGTGATAAACTACTCATAATAGAACTTACCATTTGAACCAGTGTAAATATGCAGTTGACTGGCATTGAGTTGTGCAACCATAGCCACCATCTATATGCAGAACTTTTTCATAATCCCAAACTAAAAGTCTGGGTTCACTAAACTACTACGCATTCCCTTTCTCCAGACTCGCGACTAGGCTTCTACTTTTCTACTTTTTGATTCAATGAGTTGGCACCACATATAAGTACAATCATGCAACATTTGTTCTTTGGGGTCTGACTTGCTTCATTTAGCACAATGGCTTCAAGTTTCATCCTCGTGGTAGCATGTGTCAGAATTTCCTTCCTTTTTAAGGCCAAACACTATTCCATTGTATGGATATACCATACTTGATTTATCATGACCAAAATTTTAACTTCTTTATTTTTTCAGTTTCAACCTACAGAATTTCTCTGAACATCCTTTTGTCAGTCTCCAAGGATGATGACAAACTGCAAGCTTAACTGTTTTTTTTTAAATAAAACTGATGGCAGAACAACACCCCTGCTCAGTGTTAATACCTCTTCAGTGCAAGGATTCCCAGAAGAGGGTACTATACTTAAACAGAGACCCTGGCTACCCAATTCTTGCTATTCTTCTGTCTGGGAGTTAAGAGTCTGCTCTAATTTTTTTTCTTAGAGATCATGTTGTTTTTCCAGTGATAAAACCGGAAAGAACATCTGGCAGAAAGTATCACTCAGTTGTCTGGTTGGTACATTCTGGGGACAAATCAGATATTTTATAATGGAAATCAAAGTGGTACGTAACTGCTTAGCTTTGTATTTTGATGCATCTCTGGGTTCACTGCTAGGATTGCTCCAGTCGTCAGCTTCAGGTGTGGTCTTGTAATGGCGCCATGCAGATTTATTGAAAACTGGCAGCCTCTCAAATGATTCGCTAGAAAGAGCCTATTGGGAGAAAAAAAATACATCAAAGGCCCATGGTGCCATTTTTCTCTCATGAAATACTAATCCAAAATTTACTACTAACATCAGAAACCATCACACATACTTCTGGAATTATAGTAAAATTATATTTTAGCAATTTACTTAGACTAGCTAGGAAAAAACTGAAGTTTTTTTTAAAGGAATGAAAATATTCACCCATTCAAAATCAGTAGTAAAGTACATATGATTATAAAAAAATACATTTTAATTCAGCTAACATTGCTTTGAGATACTCGATCGTTTTGACTGTATACTCTTAGACCAAGAACTATTGTTCATGGGACTGTTGCTTCACCAAAAAGCTCAGGAAGAAATAAAGTCTTATACATGCCAGATTTATATATATATACATATATATATGACCATAAAGTGATTATTAAAGATCCAGCATTTAAGGGCTGGCAATACAGATCAGCGGTAGAGCATTATTTAGCATGCATGAGGCCCTGAGTTCAATTCCCAGCACCCAAACAACAAAAACACGTTATTTACATGCATTGGCATCTAAGACAAATACTCCAAATAACTGGTTAAATTATGGTAACACATTTGTAGTATACTATGCCATGGTTAAAAAGAATGAGCCAACGATATGCAAGATACATTGGAAAGTAAAAACAAAAACAAGAACAAATGCTGACATTTCATTTATATGGGAAAAAAATTAAATTTCTTTCCCATACGGTTGTATGTGCAGAATTAATTCTATAACGTCCCACCAGAAGCTGGGACCCATGGTTACCTGTGGGAAAGAGAACCGGTGGCTGAGGGCCAGCGGTGAAAGACTGAGTTTCCTCCTTTTGCTTTTAAAGTTGTATTATATGTCCATATTACCTACTCAGAAACACTCCAAATATTCTAGGTTTAAAAATAAAAGTCTAACATGAGCAATACAGGAGAAAAATCATTACTGAGAACTTTATTACATCAACCTTTTATATAACCATATTATCATCAGTGAATTCTTAGAATTTGGGAAAGCCTGCAAATTTTTAAAGCAAAGCCTAAAAGACTTACAATTATTGAACATCTGTCTCTTTGTTCATTAGATTTTTCAATGAACATATTCTTTTGAAAAATCACAATTTAGAATTACGATTTTAAAAATCAGCATTTTAGGTTTTATATCTGTTTCATATCTTGCTATATATCTGAGCATAAAATTAAGGCTGAGGCATAATACAGTTTTCATGTGAAATACTAAATCTGATCTGAATATAAGAGATGACACAGTGCTATTCTTAATTAGAATTTATGGCTTTTAAAAAGTAAAAATGTTTTTTCATTAACAGAAGTAAAATGCAATACCTTCAAATAAATGACAGCATCAGAACCTACTCCTTCCATGGAATATAGTTTTAGATCTCCCTGAAAATATCTAGCATACAGACGAGAAATTGGCAAGCCATAGCCAAATCCAGCCTACCAAGGAAAGAAAATTAAGACAATGAGTCAGGCACAAATGTTTCATATGAAGACCATTCAGAAGATTAAAATAAATTCTTGGTTCAGGTTTAAATCAAACGAATTACTAATTCAACCTTTACAATGAGTAATGTGCTTATATACGGCAAAATCTATTTTCTTCTTGTAAAAACATTTTTTGTATGTTTGGATAATAACAGAAATATTGCAATTTTGACTAGTTTTTTTAGTATTTTAATGTAAATTTTTAGCACTTTTAAAAAGGAAATCCCAAATCAGGCAAAATTTGATCTGATGACAAAAATAAACTACATCATTTCAGATTTCCATTATCGGATTTCCTTGCTCTATGAAGTGAAAATGTCTATCAAAAGAGTTCAAATCCATCAGCATCAAGGCTGAACCATTGAAAACAATTTTGTGAGAAGCCACTTTCTATGATACTGAAAATGCGATAATATGTTGATATATTGAGTATATTTTTAGAGATAAACAATAACAAAAAAGCCTCTAGTACCTTCTTGTATCTCCATGTCACAAAAATGTGATAGTCAATGACAAGTATTTAAATAAATTTAAAAAAAAGTGCCAGATATTGGTGAGAACCATAAGGAGAACTCAGACTGAATTCAGTAATTTTTGAGGTGGTCATGGATGGGTTGGGGGAGATACTATCCCAGAAAGCCTTGATACCTCTGATTAAATTTATGAAAAGTTAGAGAAGAAGGGCAGTGAGGTAAAGCACACATAAAGTCATGGTGACATGGGCTTTAGACTCATAGATATAACGTGAAAAGCACTTTTTGTGCAACTCAACAGTTTACTTAACCTCTCTGAGCTGTTCTCTCATTCGATGTGTAATAGAAAATATACCTCAGAGCGGCCATAAGGGTTAAATGATATAGTAAGTGCGGAGTCTTGGCACAAAGCCTAACACCAAGTGAAACTAAATAAAGCGAAGAAGGTACTGCGTCTAGTAAGAGCAGCAATTTTACCAAGTAACATAGATTTCTGCCATTTTCTAACATCTCTTCTTGATATCTTCCTTAACGTTGGGCCTAAATGAAAGGGCGGGGGTAACTGACCATACCCCGTCATTTAAGGGCTCTAGCACTTGTTAAGAATGGCCAACAGTGTAAATGAGATATCCATAGTAGTCTTGAGGTAACCACAGCAAAGAAATCAGTGTGTTCCAGAAAGAGACTCAAGGAATGTGCCTCCTATGACAAACCAAGGCCCAAGCCTGCCCTCAAGTCTAACAGGGACTAATGGACAACACAGCAGTCCCTGTGGGGAAGCAGGAAAGCCCAGAGTTCTGAGAAACAGAGAAGGGGCCTCTACGTTGGATTTGGTAGGGTTCAGGAAAGGTTACCCAGAGTGTCTAAGGATCAATAGGAGTTAACTGGGTGCATAGTCATGAAAAAGAAATGCAAGTGTCAGGCCACAGAGGGGTAAAACTAAGTTGTGAGGTAAGGAAATGATGTTTTCCAGTAGTTCATATCCATGGGTCCACTTTAAAGCTGAGCACAGCTTACTAACAGGAAGGGACAGCAACAGAAGCATTTCTTCAAAGGAACACCCACAGAGTGTACTGGAAAGAACACAGACCTAGCTGGTGCCAGCCTTCTCATTAATTAGCTTGGGCAAGGCAGAAACCTCATTTCCTCCTCTCTGTGATGGGCAGTTGCTTCATATTTTAAGGTCGCTTATTTCATTTCTTTAGTTCCATAAAAAAATCTATGACCTAATTGCTACCTCAAGATACATTTTAAGACCTAGAATAGATAATCCATATGCTTTTTAAACAACTGGAGAAGGCACTCAATTTGTTTGCAGTGCCCTTTTTTTCTTTTGAGGTTTATTGAAATAGGTGCCCAAACCTGGCCACTGCAATCTCTTTCCAAAATGATCTCTCAGGAATTTTCCTGAATCTGACATAAATGACTTCCTCTTTGCATTCTGCATGCTGAGTTAACAAACTCCATCTCAAATAAATGATGTAAAGTGTTTGATTTTATTCATACAAATAAAATATAATCTTATGTGCTTATCAGTCAGGTAGGACTTTAAAATGAAACTTAATTTATACCCTGAACCATTCTGCAGACTGATAGATATGTTGCTTTGTTTAATGACAAAGGGTTCAATTGTTGTTTGTCAATTAGAAACACTCAGCAGGGGAAGAAAGTGTGGCCCTACCAGGATCTAAATGCTACCATGGTAACCAGAGGCTTTTCTCCCTGCCTTAATAGGGCTGAAGGTTATTTTCAGAGTGTGACAGAAAGGGCCCTGAAAATGCACATACCACCTATATGTTTTATGCTTACATTATTTAATATAAAAAATTAAATGTTTTCATAACTGAACATTTTAATTATATAAACAAATTTGATGTTGGAGAGTCAGAGAATCCGGGTGATTTGGGTCTCTGGTACACAGTACCAAAATGCCCAGGGCCAAGCGGTAGCTGCACATTCTGTGCAGTCCCTTTGCTCACACACTGGTAATTTCCACCCTCCCCAAGGGTGGTGCTGTGTGGTAACAATGCTCCAGTAGCAGCTTTACCTAAGCGAAAGGCTTTTTTGCTTTACTGGGGAGTAAGGCACTCAGCTCGGACTATTTCTTAGTCAAGTTAGAGAAGCAATTTAACTCCAATGGACTTACAAAGAAAGTAGGGAAGGCAAAAAAAAAAAAGGTCCCCCTCCTCCAAACCCTACAGCGAACATTCTTTGAAGCCCGACACCCTGGGAAGAGGGAAGACAGGCAGCTCCGTGGCCCTCATGTAGAGAGAGTCCCCCCCCCCCCGCCGTTAATGACCAAATGCTTACCAAAGGGGCAGCTCTTGTAGGCTCCAGGCTAGGTCTAGGAGCAGTTGAATACATGTAGTTGAACAGACGATCAATTTTGCGAAGTGGAACTCCACCACCTAGGTCACTTATCTGTAGTACACAAAATGTCAAAAAAAAAAAAAAGATACCCGTCTATAACTTAAAGTAGGAAGCAATGAAGTCATTAAAAATAAAGCACAGTCTAGAGTACTCCAAAATGAGGAAAGGCTTTGAAATCCCATTGAAATATGGTTCATATGGGAACATATAAAACAAAGAAGGCAGAGTATAGTACAGGAGGATCCAGGCATGGAGTCTTAGTCAATGAAGTTGAACTGAGGTAACTCAAGCCAAGGGCCAAAGCAGACCCATCATCTGTTACTTAATGACAGGGACACATTCTGAGAAAGGTGTCATTAAATTTCATCACTGTGGCTGGGGATTTAGCTCAGTGGCGTAAGCGCCTGCCTTGCAAGCTGGCAGTCGTGAGTTCAATCCCTGGTACCAATTAAAAAAAAAAAAAGAAAAAGACAAAAAAAGATTTCATCATTGTGCTAACATCACAGACTGTGCTTACCCAAACTAAGTTGGCTATAGTGTCACTATGCGATATAATCTTAAGGGACTGCCATCAGATATGAGCTCTGTTGATAAGTATTGTGACACACAGCTGTACTTACAAAACAAGTATGACACTCTTTGTCACCCTGGTGTAAAAAACGGAAATGTCCCCATAGATATAGTGAGAATGAGGGAGGAGGAGACAGCTCGGAAGGAAGGGACAACTGGGCTAGGGAAGAGGAGAAAAGATTATATATAGATAATATATGGATGATAGAAAATTATACTACTAATCTCTGTTGATTCATAAAAAATGGTTAGCGCTTTCATTGTTTGATTCTTTTTCATGCCTATATCTTGCAATTTGACCAACTACTTTGAAGATAATATGCAATATATTAACCATTGTTAATATCTTAAAAAAAAGACACTCAATGAATGGCAGTTTTCATACCTTGCCTCTGATTTCTTGAGGCTTAATATTATTAAATCAACTGATAATTAAAAAAATTTAAAAGGGGCTGGAGATTTAGCTCAGCGGCATAAGCACCTGCCTTGCAAGCAGGCAGTCGTGAGTTCGATCCCCGGTACCAATAAAAAGGAAAAAGACAAAAAAAAAAAAAAAAAAAACCCAACTGATAATTAAAATACACATGCAAGTAAAGCAGTTACCTTAATGGACAAATCTTCTTTACCCAAAGTAACAAGAGTTTTAACAGGAGGGCAGCCCTCTTTTCTATCTTCATATAATTCAACTGTTGCTCTCATTGAGTTCTAAAATAATGAGACCTTTTGTTAAAGCATATTGCTGACTCATAAACAACAAGTTTATTTATTTATGTGGTGCTGGGGATTGAACCCAGAGCTTCATGGTAAGCAAGCACTCTCCCACTGGGTTAGTCTCCCAATTCCAATCCTCTTTCACCTTAATCTTTTTTAAAAAATAAAAAAAGAAACAAATACAAGATTACTTATACCCTACAACTCTTCTGTGGCACAAACATTAATTGGATTTACATGGCATTTTTCTCTCTTGTATAAACGTATGCTCAGATCAAGGAAAAATGTCCTGACACTTTGTTTTTCATCTAGTTTTAGCCCTATCTAACATGCTAAATATTTATTTTTCTTTCCTTTCTTCCTCCCTTTTTTCTTTTTCTGCTTTAGGGTATTTAAATTATTCAACTCAACCAGGAAGGATGTTTTTATCACATGTAATGAGGCTGCAGAGGCTGATTTGTGCACTTTAAATCCTATTTATCAGTCTGCATTTATAGAGCACCTTTCTTCTAAAGGCAGAAAAACTGAAAAGATTCATGTTTCCCATAAAAATTAATCATCTGGCTGAAAAAGTAGAAGAAATATCATTTAAAAAATTCTGAAAAAGCCACAGCTGTTAAAGAGAAAAGTTCACAATTGAATGCCCATCTCCACTTTAAAGTGTTACATCAGTAACATTCTAATTTTTGGAAGCAAATCAGCATAACTGATTTTTCAGGTGCTCGACTTAATGTCTTACACATTGGAAGAGAAAGAATGTTAGCTTAAATGCCTTGTGTTGTGTACTACAGTGATGTAAATGCTATTTGTTACTGGGTAACAAAAGCAGTAATTTAGGCCACAGGAAGGCATGTCTAATTCATGGCCCATGGACCACATATGGCCATGGACAGTTGGCAATGAGGCCCCATAAGACAGGAAACTTCTAACATTATTATGTTTTTTTCGGGGGCGGGGAGTACCAGGGATCGAACTTATGACCTTGTGCTTGCCAGGCTGGCACTTATGCTGCTGAGATAAATTCCTGGCCCTATTATGTTATTTTTAGTGATATTTTTCATGACTCGAATGCACAGTGCTTAAGTATGGACTGTATAGGCAACAATGGACCCAGACATTGATGCACTAATTTCACAGAACAAGTTTTATGCCTATGTTGCTCTCATTTAAAAATGCTACAATAAAATATTCAAGAATAAAGGAAGTTTTGTTACTTATATGCAGTAACTACATTATATATTTTATATGTGGCACAGACAATTCTTCTTCACTCCGTGTGGCCCAAGCAGGCCAAAAGTCAGACACCCATGTTTTATTTTGTATTCTTTCTGGTCCTCCTATTCATCCATGTCTTTCCCTTTACCTCTGTCAGATTTCCTAGAGTGATTCAGACATGTAAAAGGGTTACAGGAGCTCTCAGGACTGGAACAACTATTAATGCCCCAAAATATTTAATGTTCAGAAGCACAAAAAGTGCATAAATATGCTTTTTATTTTGGTCTGGCTACTATGCATAAAGCCTTTGCTAGGTTTTAAAATTAAAGGGCATCTCTAATCTCCTAACCTAAGGGAAATCAGTATTGATTTTGTGTAAAGTCGCTAAAGTACAATTAAGTTTCAAAATCTATATGTACTAATATTCACAAAAACTATACTGTACACAGCAATTTTTCATCTCACAGTGTACAAATTATAAAACCCACAGGATATCAGAAATAGAATTTTTAAAATGGTTATGCAAAACCTTTTTCTTATGCTAATCTAATGAATCCATTATGCCCTGAATCAAAGTAATTTAAAATGAAGACTTCTTTCCATGTTTTTAAATTCCACTTACCTTGAACAACTCAAATAGCATGTGAAACAGATGTGAGGGCACATAAACTACCTGAATAGGTTTGTCTGGTGCTTTGGCTGAAAACAGAGACAAAACTGTCAATGAATAAGGACCAAGATGACAGGAGAGTCAAGAATGATGTTTGCATTCTATTTTCAAAATACGTAAATCGCAGCATTATAAAAAAGCTAATTTAGGTTCCCACCTCTCAAAGCAGGGATGAACAAAAACATATGTTTCAGAATCAAAACAAATCTGGGGTAAAATCCAGTTAGCTATGTGACCTTGGACAGATCTCTCAAGCTCTTTGAAACTTAAGTTGGGCAAAATTGGAATCTATCTATGTCCCAATATCCTGAGCATTTCATAAGGACAATAAAAGTATCACTTGGCCAGTTCCAAACCGGGAACATCCACACTACTGACTCCAGTGGTCAGCTGAGGGGATGTGAAGCCACTGGAGCACAAGGGCTGGTGAATGGACCACACCGCGCTGTTAAATTTGGTTAACATATGCTAGAGCGGAATTAAGGTCCACAAAACTTTTGCTACTAGCAGCCATCAGTGAAACCTCTGGAGACCTACAGTCTTTTCTCCGTGCATCAGGCATCTTCTGGGGAAAATCTGAGTAACACTGAACCCCATGTCAAACACTAAGAACAGCATGGCATAGAGAGGAGATGCTGAGAAATGTAGTCTTTCCCCTTCGTGACCTGAAATCACTTAAGAGATTGAAGCTACATGAACTTTCTCAAGTAGAGCACATACATACTCACTCATGCTATAATTTAAACTTACTTCCTCTAGAAAATGATTCAAAATAATATAAATTAGAGTTGCCATTTATTTGGTTCTTAGCAGTTTACAAAGAGCTTTCACACACATTATCCAATTGAATTCTTATTATAATACCTCAAGGCTCATAGGGTAGGTGGCATTATTTTCAGGTGAACAAACAGGCTTTGGAAAGGCTGACCTGCTCACGCTAATGAAAGCGACACTGAAACTAGATGCTTGGTGCAAGAGCTGTTTTGGAGGGGATCAAATCCAGAGCCCTGCTGTACCACTGACCTATATACCCAGCTCCAAAGAGCTCTTGATTCTAGATCCTGGATCTTTTGATGATCAGCTAGTCTTTTTTTAAAATCAGTACCGGGGATCAAACTCATAACCGCCTGCTTGCAAGGCAGGTGCTTATGCCACTGAGCTAAATCCCCAGCCCCCCCCCACACTTTTTTTGCTACCATAATGTCTTGTTTTCTTCTAAATAGTTGTCTATATCTTCACACACAATGAATTCATACAAAACAAAATGTTTTAAAACTGATCAAAACAGAATAATGAAGGCATTATGGGCCTTCAAAACCAGACAATAGGAAAATCAACAATGATCAGCTATTTTTAAGATGTATAATATCCCTCCATTCATGTCCAGAGGTAGCTACTTTATCACTTCTGCTGTATGCCTTTGGCTTATATTTACATTCTGTTCTGTAACTCTAATGAACTATTCTATATGTTACTTACATGTCCTTTTATTTCCTTCTTTTTTATCGGTACCAGGGATCGAACTCAGGACTGCCTGCTTGCAAGGCAGGCGCTTATGCCGCTGAGCTAAATCCCCAGCCCCCACTTACATGTCCTTTTAAGAAAAGCTGAAAACCAACAGTGTCAGTAAACTTTAACTATGTAAGTGTTGATCACTGCAGAGCAACCACAATAGTGTACCTAGAAGGATTCCCTTTCGAATCCAGTGATATCGCTTGGAGGAAAGTGCTTGTAAGCTTTTATGATGAAACGGATTCTTTCTAGATTCCCCTAATTGTTCAAAACTCTGCTTTTTCCTAGGTTGCTTCATATGTAGTTTGTGTTGTTCCTGTACAGTTTTGTATTTTCCTGGAGTTTCTAACTACCTCTTCTCTTGGACAACTAGAAAGAAACATGCTTTCCTCATGCACACCAAGATCTTCCACTCTTTGTGATTTTTTTTCAGTACTTGGGCTTGCACAGGGCATACTAAGCAAATGCTCCACCACAAAGTAACATCCCACTACATTCCAGCCCTTTAAACTCTTTTTTAAATTTTGAGACAGGGTCTCACTATGTTGCCCAGGCTGGGCTCAAACTAGCAATCTCCCTGCTGATGCATCAACCTCTGGACAAGCTGAGATTACAGTTGTGTCCACTGTGCCCAACCATTCTCCAAGACTTTTCAAATTAAAAATGATTGCTTTCCAAACACACTGCACAGCCATCATCATAGAATTGTTTTGATTGAAGTTATAGAATGTTTTCCCCTATTTCTTATATCCATTCTATACACTCTGTCAGTCAGGCAACCTACCTCAGAAAGGTATATATAAGAGATACTTTATTCCTTACACCTATGATTCAGTTGATTGGAAGTTTCAGTAGGCAAAGAATTCTGCATTTGAACTCTGTCTCTCAGAATTTGGTAACGGGGATCTTCTGGCAACAACAGCACAGCTGCTAAGTTTGATGTCACTTATGTTCATTCATGCTACTGGCATTTGCTAAGGTCTGATATATCATAGTTTTAATGTTTTGTTTAAGAGTGAAGGACTGGATTCATCATTCAAGGTGCTGATGCTCTTTTCCCCCAGGCTCTCCCCTAAGCGGGAAGGCTTAGAGCTCTGTACCTGATAAAGACTTCTGCTTTAGGACAAGCTGACAGGAAGCTGGCCTCTGATAGGCCCCCAACTCCTCAAATGAAGTAGGTTTTACTTTTGGGTAACATCACTCACACGAACAGTCTCAGTTCTTTCTAGGTTGTTTTTAAATAAGAGTAATCTTATTTGGTTGTCAGCAGGAAGACTCTGGCCACAGTCAAACTAGTCAACATCCCTCCACATTCTCCCTTAGACCACCTTTCAGCTCACTCCTACCCCATTGGCTCTGCCTTCCCATTGCAGACCTTTGCACCACCTAGCTCTGCTCCAGGGTCCTTCTAGAATAATCTTTAGCAAACTGGTTGCCAACTCTGCTACAGTCTCCTCCTCTGTGGTTTCTTTTGCTCTGTCCCATCACTCAGCATATTTGCATCTGGTTACCCTCTTTCAGGAGCTGGTATGAGTGTCCCCTCGAATTCATATACTGAAACCCCAAAGTGATGGCATTAAGAGGTAGGACCTTTGGTTAGTGGTTAGGTCGTGAGAGTAGAGACCTCATGAATGAGATGAGTGCTCTTATAAAGAGACCCCACAGAGCTCCCTGTGCCCTTCTGATATGTAGGGACACAGCAAGGAAAACCAGGAAATGGGTCCTTACCAAACACCAAATCTGCTGACACCATGATCTTGGACCTCCAGACCCACAAATGTCTTCTGTTTAACTCATTCAGTCCTAGGTATTTTTATTATAGTATCCCAATGGGACTATGACAGTGGTCCTCAGATAAACTCCCTAGTTTTCTTTGCTATTTTTCTTTGGATTTCTTTATTATTATCATTTTAAAGCAGCCAAGAAACAAGCTCGGTGCTTAGTTTATCTTGTACCAGGAGGCATGATTACTTGTATGAGCAGCCTCTGAATTCAACCTTCTCACTCCAAATCTTAAGAAAAATGAAAAGACCTGTTATAGTTTGGGATTTATTTTTTTAGTTCAAATAACATTCTCTAGGAGCCATCTAAAGGCTTGTTCAACTACTTGCACTTTTATTTGGAAATATTATAGTTTAGATTTTGTCCTTCCTTTTAAAACTATGTCAAATGTTTTCATCCATGACTCTTCCTGTATCCTGGGTCTATTGCTTGATAAATGGTGGATAAATGACTTAATAGACATTTGTTAACTTTCTAAACAACATACAAGTGGAAATAAATTTCCCATTTAAGGGTACATTTAAAAAGTCAATGAAGAAGCCAGGTGTGGTGGCACACACCTGTAATCCCATCACTTGGGAGACTGAGGCAAGAGGATTGCTGTGAGTTGGGGCCAGCCTGGACTACATTATGAGTTCAAAGCCAGGTTGAAGTATAAAGGAGACCATGTCTCAATAAAAAGCCAAATAAATAAACAAAAGTCAGTAGAAAAATGGTCTAGTTTTTATGCTCAAAACTCAAGAAATAATAAATCCTCTATGTTGTACAGCCATTGCTCCATATACCATTAGTTGAAGCAGCATTTTAATAAATATCAGTAGGATTCTACATAGGCACAAGGAACTTTATTTTCAGATAATTCTATAAGAATGAAAAAAAGCCAAAAACGAACTGGAGGCTCAGGAGAAAAATCCATTTAAAAGAAAAGATAGCAGTGCACTTAAAGGTGGCTAATCTATTTCCAAAAATAAATGAGTATTAAAAACATCATATGCACTCTAATATGTTAAAGTTTTCACAATATTTCTAACTGACCAAAGGTATAGAGAAAGGTTTTAAAAAATACAAAAGATGAAAAAGCAGCACAATTTTAGGATCTTACTAAAATAGATCTCAGGCATCATCAGGTTTTCTTTTTTTTAGCCATTTTCTTTGTACTTAAACTTAAAATTATTTTTCTTTTACCATTAAATTCTTCAATTTCCAGATCCGGAGCTATCATGTAATACTGTTCACAGAGCATCTTGGCTGTTTCATATGCATCTGCAAAGTAAGAGAAAAATTTAGCAGCTGTACTAATCACATAGGCACAAATATCTGTGAGTGGGGTGCTCACGTACATATATACGAACACACAAATATGATAAAGACAAACTTTTAAACCGATAGATTTAGAGTTAAAACTACTACTTTTTAAAAATAACTTTCTTGGCTTTAATAAATTAGAATGGACTAAAACAAAATTTCTCTTTCCTTAAAGTTTGAATAGCCACAACAATGTCAAAAATACTAAACTAATAACATGGTTAGTTCTATACCAAGTACATGTTTGTTTAACTTTTAAACATTCCTAAAAGATATTCTTCATGAAAATCTATCAACTCAAGACTATACTTCCAAACACCATGTAATCTGACTAAATTATAGCGAAAAGATATTTGTTGTAATTAAAAAATAATAATACCAACAGTCTTACCATGCACTGGTTACTTATATGAAACATCAATAAGTATTTACTGAATGAATGAGTTTCCATGAATTGCACAATTTAAGTTAATGGAAACACCACTATCACTTTTAAATGTCCGTTAAGTTCATTGACAGTAACAAGTTGGGGTTGATATTCCCTGAGGGAAAACAGTTTGCTTTTCAAAGGAAAAAAAGGGTAAGAAATCAGTTATTAGAGAAATAGCTGAAAGGGGGAATTTCAGGAAATTCAAAAGACGGGGAGCAAATTCAGAAAGTGTCTCATGACATGTTGCCTTTTTTGTCTTGAGCTGTAAATATCTTTAAAAATCAACAATAACAAAAGACTCTGAGGCCAGGATTTGTGCCTTACACTTGTTTTATAACATGCACAGAACTTGGTATAGTGCCTATGTAGATGATTAATAAATATTACTTGGTTAGATAAATTTTAAACCTTGTGGTAACTTCCTTTTAAAAATTTCATTGAAATATAATTCCAGTACCATAAAGTCCACTCCTTTGTAGTATGTAATGCAACCTAGCGGTACTTAGTGTATTTGCCAAGTTGTGTGCCCATCACCACAATCAAGTATACAATATTTTATTACTACAAAAAGAAGCTCCATACCCATTGAAAGTCATTCTCCTCTACCCAGCCCTAAGCTCCATGGAGCTATTTTGCCTCCAATAAATTTGGTATTCTAGACATTTTGTATACTGGTAAATAGAACCACATAACATAGTTTTTGTAACCAGCTTCTTTCACTTAACATTTTCCAGGGTCATACACGTTGTAGCATGAATGAGTACTTCACTGTTTTATTGCTAATAGTCCATCATATCCATAAACTATATTTCTTTATCTATTTACCAGTTAATAAGACACACGGGTTGTCTCCACTTTTGGTTATTATGAACAATGCCACTATGAATATCCATGTCAAGGTTTTTGTGTAAACATGTGTTCATTTCACTTGGGTATATACCGAGGAGTAGGAAACTGCTGGATCATACAGTAATTCTACACTTGTAGAGTCTGATGAAATGTCAGGCTGTTTGCCAAAGCAAGTTTGATTTTGTTTTGTAGTTTTATCTTATAATTTCTAAAGATCAGGCAATCAAATTACTATAAATTACTATGCTATTTTATATTACAATAAAATCCTTCATGGATGCATGTTCAATGTCCCCATGTATAGGCTCTTTAGAGACAAGCCTGTACTCTGTTTTTCTATTCCTACATCAATACTGTGCACAGAAAAGCTGTTTGTTTAATATTCAAGAGGCCAGAGAAAGAATAAAGAAAGGAAAGGAAGAAAGGAAAATAAGCCAAACAAAATTTAAATATGCTAAAAATTGACATTATTAATCTAAAATATTACAAAAATAAAATTAGGATATGCTCAGGCTGTTCAGTTTATTTATCTAATACTGCTACCAAATTAGAATTTTGTGCATTATTTCACTTTGGAGAAAAAATTCTTACGACTTTATTAAAATTTATAATTAAATCATCACAAAGAATCAAAGGTAGAGACATTAGACTAACTGATGAGATGAAATTGTGAGGGATAACAAAAAGGAAATGGCAGGAAAGAAAAATAGATTCAAAAATGAATTGATCGGTGTGAAAATAGACATTAAAGTTGGACTGAATTTCAATCCTTAGAAAAGAAAGTTGAAATTTCAAATCATACTAAATTTGCAAGTTTTTTCTAAGATATAGTAAACCGCATCGTGTATCTGTAAAGCACTTGTGTAAATGGAAATCAAGACTCTTTTTGCTCTGACTGTACTACCAAACAATGCTACATCTCCACCTAGTGACATGATAGCACAAAGCCAACTTCCGAGACTCCTTTCACTACAAAACAGAAGAAACTAAACCCATGTTAATTCCTGGTATTAACTTGATAGCATGGGAAATGTGCTGCACAAATCTAACGTGTGGAAGACAGCAGAGCCTAGATAGAAGCAGCCACGTTCAAATTCAAAGACTCAGGATGGCTTCTAAAACCACATGTGAATAAGAATTTTTTAAGCATCACAATGAACAGTGTATTAATGTTATAATTAAGAATCAAATGATAAATCTTTCAAAAACTCAAGACATCACAACGTAGATTCATACACAACAGTTAGCTAAAAGAAGTTTGGTGGCATTCATGGCAAAATCAAAATTGATAAAAATCTTTACAAATTCTCATAGCATATCACATACACATTTAGTAAACATGTGTCAAATAGAACAATTCTCTGACCATCATAAAGTTCTCAACATGCAGTCAATCATGCTGATGGAAATGTTTTGTTTTGCTTTACTTTGTATGTGTTTTGCTTTTTCTGCTGTTGCTGTTGTTGTTAAATTAGGAACTGGAACTATAGGCCTCAAGTAGTTCCCAAACGTGGTTGTGTAGAGTTTACTACCTAGTTAAAAAAAAGTGAAGACTATGAAATGAATCCCTGAAGATTCTAGGCAGTAGTTCTGTGTTAAGGCCTGGGAATCTACACTTTAAGAAGTCACCAGCTAATTCTAAAGAGAAGCTAGATTTGGGGACCACTTGCCTGGAAAGTTAATTCTGACACTGTTTCTCCTTGGACATGAATGATCACAAGGTACTGCGAGTGTTTGATAATATATAATAATAATAAATATATATATATATATACACACACACACACACACACACATACACACATACATATGTGGTACTTCTATTTAAGTATATAAAAATGAATAAGCTTTTAAAAACCACTAACATAACAACCACAATCTAAGTATTACCTTATAAATATCTTTTTTTTTGTCTTTTTCTTTTTTATAGGTACTGGGGATTGAACTCATGACCACACACTTACAAGGCAGGCGCTTATGCCGCTGAGATAAATCCCCAGCCCCTAAATATCTTTTTATATTCGAGTTGTATTTAAATTTTGTCATTTTTTGTGGTATCAGGGATGAAATTCAAAGCCTTTGCACTAAGCTGTCTCTAGCTCACTTTTTAATGTTTTATTTTGAGATTAGGTCTTCTTAAGTCACTAAGTTGCCTAGGCTTGGCCTGAACTTGGCACTTCTGCCTGTGCCTCCCAGAGCACTGGGATTATATGTATTTATATTTTCTAAAATCAATTTTTTATTTTCTAATAGAAATAACAATTTTAAAACCTAATTACCATGGCCGGGGATATAGCTCTGTGGCACAGCACCTGCCTGGCAAGCGTGAGGTTGTGAGTTTGATTCCCAGCACCAAAAAACAAAGTAATTGTCAAATTATTTTTATCTGTAATATATCTGAGCCAGTATTTACCACTGATCTTTAAAATACAATATTAGGAAATTATTATTGGAATTGCACATAAGTGATAGTCATTGTTTTAGGAATCTGTCTGCAACAGTAGTAAGATGTTGACCATAGAATAATTAACAAAACTGTGGACATGGTACATACATATTTCCCCAGGCTAAAATGCTTGAACTGCAAACACACAAGATTCAAAATGAAAAAGGCTGCACATAAAAGAGTAGGGTAAAGGTCTGGTACCCTGGCACATATTTGCAATCACTGCCCTCTAGAAGGCTGAGGCAAGGGGACTGCAAGTTTAAGCCTGGCCTGGGCAACTTAGCGAGTCCATGTCTCAAGAGCGGGCTAGGGATATGGCTCGGTGTGAAAGTGGGTTCCATTCCCAGTGCAAAAACCCCAAATAAATAAAGGATAGGGTAGAGTAAAGATTCACACATTCATATCACTTGCCCAACAGACCCAACCTAGCACACAGGAAAAAATGTATTATAGAAATTATTTTATTAGTCATCTTAGAACTCCGTTATCAAGATTAAGCCCCTACCCCAAACACATTCAATCATCTGCTTACAAATATCTTATAAGAGGGCAAACTAGACTAAATTTGAGTGCTGAAAACAGTTAAAATGGGGATGCCAAGGGCCTTAACAGAACTGAGAAACACATGAAGCTCAAGTGTAAGTAAGTAGCCACTGTCAGAACAAGACAACCATAAACAGCCACAGCATTACAAAGTCACAGACGCACTGTTTTTAATTTTTAGTTTTTAATGAAAATAACCCCACACCATCGTCATTCAGTACTTACATAAGGGTAATCAAAACAACAAGCAAGTATTTTAGAACTATATTTCCCAACAAAGCACACCTAAAAAAAGATTACCTTCTCAATAATTCCATCACTCCAGTGATCAGTTCTCGTTGGAGACACCTGGTGGCAGAGCAACGCTATCTCCTTTTAGCATGGTCCAACCTAGGTGCTCATTTCAGAGTGAATTTTTACTACATATGTAATAAAGGCTCCTATAGTCATCAAAACCAAAGATTCAGCCCTCCACCTGCATGTTCATATGCACACAGAGCCAAACTTGAATCTGGGATCTATTTCACAAGCGCCTGAAAATGAAGTTGATAGGCCTATGCCTTCACCTTCTGTACCATTTTACTCTGGCCACATTACACCACGGGGGAAGCTCACAAAGGCCCCACGGACCCACACACTCCTTAAGAAACTTGCAGAGTTGAAAACACTTACTTTTTAGAAATCCTTTGA